GAGCCCAATCCTACAAATGTTCAGCTGTCATAAAATTACTGGCTCACCCACAGGATCAAGTGTAGGGTGTAGGAAACTGAAGTGCTTGATTCATGTCAGTTTTAAATATGTTTGCCATCAGAAAATCTTACATGACTTTTAAAAGTATTCCTTTGATAACTTAAACTAATCTTGAGTACAGCCTCTGTTCCTTCTGTATAAGAGTGTTCAGGGGAAAAAAGCCACAATGAATCAATAAAAACAATTTGTCAATTACCTTCAGATCACAGTAATTAGTATTTTTTGTAAATAGTTATAATAGCTTTGAGAAATCAAGACATTTTACTGAGAGGGGAAAAACTTCCCTTTAAATCAGCAAATTGTTCAACACAAGTCTTTAGACTGTCGGGGTTTCCAGAAATTCACTCTGTAAGTAGTGCTTATATTACAGAATAGATGATCTCTACAAAATCATGAATTTTAGTGGCTAATGTGAAATCATCATGGTTGTGAATCTACTGGGCAGAATTATAATTTAAGCACAACTCACCGCATGTTAGCAGTGAGTTTGGAAACAGGTTGTAGATAAGCCAAACAAAGTTATAAAATAAACCCTGGCAAAATGCACTAGATGTGCTGAAAGCTTTTTTTCTTTTAATTATTAACACTTACTGCTGTACATTCTGTGGCAGCATAATAAAACATCCAAATACAAATAAAGGAGGTGGAAGTTAAAGCAAGATCTATACAGCACTTCGCTGTTTTAAACTGGTACAAGATAAATATCAGGTAATTCCAAGGTCTTAACAGTTAAAAGCCAAATATAACCATGCAAAAGGTAGTGCACTGCAAACTGATGTGTTTGGGTGATCTGTGACAATCAGGATATTAAGCACCATCACCAATTGCACAGTACTATTTAAACATCAAAGATTTGTTTTCCTGACAAACACAAAAATTTCTTCAAATCCAAGCACATATCTTAAATATTCTTAATGGCAAAACAGAACCATTTTATTAATAAAATATCTATGTATACAATGAAAAACTTGTACACAATTTAAGAGAGCTTTTCCGCAGTATTTTATGATTTCAAGACTCCTATACGTTTCCTTCTTAAATAAATCAGAAAAACATTTCAGAGGTTATCATAAAAGCATTTCCGGGTTTATCATAAAAACACAGTTCTACAACAGGATTCAGCTCATTCCCTAATAATGCTGTGGTTTAAAACCAGGTGTAGTGTATTTAACAGATGTAATACATGAATAACCTCCTCACCTTAAAAAGGATCAACCACAAGCTTATCATTACACATAAATTTAAGCATTCCAGGGAATCAAATCCTGACTCAGCACTTCAGTGCTGCAAATTGTAAACTAATCAAAGATCTCATCTTCCAACCATGAGATTCTTATCCACAGATTTGCAGATCTTGCTACTGGGTTATAACAGGATTCTATATTCTTCTTCAAAAATACTGTTTCCGGTGTTCCTTCTGCCTTTCAAATCCCTAAAATCCAACAGCCCATTTTTAAAATCAGCACAAACTACCACATGCCACTCTGCATTAGCACTTAATGTCTCTATAGGATTTATTTCTCACAAGTTAATCCTCTTGTTGCGCAAAAGTTTTTGTTGAGAAAGGCAGGACAAGTTGAAGTTACTCTTCAGATCAATCCATAGGGATGACAATCAATAGGAAATAGGTGACCCTACTCAACTTCACAATAACAAACTAGGCAGACACAGCCTCTATTTTCTTTTCTTTAAGATGATGTTACCTTTCTTGCACTGTAATGCTCCAGTCTTTACTATCTCCCACGATCTTAGGATGTCAGCATGTATTTGTTATAAATTGCCTAAATGGGAGAATCCATAACTTCCTAAATCATGCAGTTTATAAAAAATATCAGCTTCTGTCAGAGCACAGAAAGTTCTTTTAAAGGCACAACTTCATTTTATGGCCCAGGCCAAAGGAAACAGTTGTCTTTTTCTCTCTACGCGGTTCATCCCTGGCACTTTATCATTTTCAAAAATCTCTTTTTTTTTTTCCCCCCAGCAAACAATAAAAATGCAACTTTCAATGTTTTCATCACAGTCAAGGAATTTCTTCAGTTCCTGCTGGTTTAATAAAGCTTTGAAAACTGTTACTCTAAAGCACAGCAGATCTGTTTGCACAGCTTTCAAAGGATAACTGCACCAGTTCTGAAGCAAAAGGAAAATGTCTATTCCTTCCATTTCTATGGCCAACAATAACTTCTACGTTCTGACAGAATCATGTGTACACTGGCTGGGAAGGCAGTTTCAAAATACTTTATCAGGAAGTCCACAATTCAGTAAAATCCAGGCTCCCCAGACACTGATCCAAACTGATGCACGGGCTGCGACTCTGAACTTCAGGGCTGCTGTTTTGTCTCTTAAGCACACTTACAGTTATTTTCTCCACCAAGAACAACACTTATATTTTTCAGTGTAGATCACTTTAATAGATGTGAACAATAACCAAACAGAATTCTCTTGAAGGAGATCACTAATCTTGTTGTACCTGCAGAGAACTCAATACAGCAGAACACTGGGTTTGTAACAACGTGCTCATCTACTTTAGATTGTTCAACACACAGGAAAAAAAAAAATCAGTATCCCATTTGCATTAAACTGAAAAATACTCCAGTGGAATGTATCCCATGCTCCACTGGACAACAGTCTATCAGTCTCTTAAGGACATTTAACTGAAAACAAATTGCATCTTCTGTTTTTGCAAAGGGAACTCTTCATGGAATTTCAGAGAGGCGAGTAACTCCTTAGGTATCTACTGCCCACTGAGCAATTCAGATCAGAAACTGCTTCACAACAGTGAAGGTGAATCTATGTGTGACTAAAAGCAAGGCAGAGTTGTTCTCACCACCATTTTACCTGCCTAAAATCCTGTATCTCCTAAAAGCAGCAACAAGAAACCAGAGGGAAGTAGTAGGAACAGGCTGAGTGTGAGTGCAAGGCAGGTGGGGGACTTGGCACAGGACGTGGAGAAGATCTACCATGTTTCTTATTTAAAACTGTTATGCCCGTAACTGAAACAAAAAAAAAGGTAGTGCTAATGTAGCCTGAAGTGACCTAAGACACCTTCCTGCTCCTAAATGAACTCCTTCACAAGTAAAAAAGAAGGAAAAGCAAAGTGCATCTCTAATATGATGCAGCAATACTAAGATATTTAATATTTCTATTATGTTAAAAAGCCAAATGCAGTCTTTATGTTGGTAAATTATTATCTGTGGAGTTTTGAAATACTTTAACTTCTTTATGGGTACAGGAGGCAACTGGCACAAAAAATATTCCTATACTTATAAATAAAAATAAAGCTTTGACATTCTTCCTCTCCTAATCTTTAGCTCTAACATAATGGAAACAGGAAGGAAGAGAGTAGAACATTTCAGATAAGACTACCCAAAAATGATAACTCACACAAGGTAATATATTAAAAGCCACATGCAAGTAAATTAATAGATGATTCAACAATTCATGACCTAAAGTAAAATGATCAAAAGGGTGGTATCATGGTAGCATGCACGAAATATCTGTAATTTTAATAAATAAGTTGCCCCTGTCATTAAAACATAGTTATAGATCTATGGATTAGAATGTGGATGCTGTAACTATTTTGATTTATACATGACTGATTAAAAATTAAAAAAATAAGAAGCAGCAACACAGTAAAATGCAGCTTTTCAATAGTGGTAAAATTACTAAAAAGTAAAGATCACTCCAAGTAAATATCAGTAGTCTAAAAGTCATGGTTAAGTTCATCCTTCTTCACCTCATCCTATCTCAAACTACATTCTGGACAGTATTTCAGAGTCAAGACTTTAGTGCAAAGAGCCAATGATTACCACTATCCTTTGAAATTATGGATTTACGTGTCAGTACTCTGGGGTTAACTTTCTCCATTTCATTTTCAACTCTGACAAATGAACAAAGGGAAAAGTCCTGTAAGACACTTCTGCAAGATTTCATAAAGCAAAGCTCCCTTTTATGTGCCGCTGACCTCAGCAACTGCCAAATGTGCATCCTCTCCCCCCGCTCCATAATTACATTCACAATCAGACATTTTTTAAATGTGCACTTTAGACACGAGCCACTGCAGCCCAGCTCCCCATCTGCAGCCTTGCTGGTTAGACAGCTCTTAGTTTTAAGCTGAAATATTCTTTAAAGTGTTTGATAAATCAGAGCATGAAGCCACATGGGAACAAGACCATTACTTGCCATCCCCATAGTGTCTCGGATACACATAGAAAGGGGGAAAATGCTGTGTAATGTCAGGTCAAACTGTCTGATCAACTTGTTGCTTTTCTACAAAATGAAGATTTGCAGCCAGCCCAGTGCAGCAGATTACCAGTCAAGATAAAGACTTCTTCTAAGGAATCCTTCTGATTATGCTAGTATCTTTAAGACTGACAAAACCCACCTGTTTAAACAGCATGCAAGGCTTTAGAAGTTATAAACTAAAAAACAACATAATGCCACAGCCTGGAACTGGGTTTCTAAGAATCCACTGTTCATTTAAAAGAATAACGTTTTTTTTTAACAATTTTACTTCCTGTCTGCTAAAACCCAACCATTTCATATCAAAATTGCATCAGCAATATGATTTCAGCAGTCTCAGTATTAGCACTGAAAGATATTAATACAAAATATTTCTTTACAGAAGTATATATGACAACAGGAAGCTTAGCTTTCTTTGATGAAGGATTGAGAAATATACGTCTCTAAAGACTTCTACAGTTTACATTGAAAACGCATTTCTTTACTCAGTAGCATTTTCTCTCCTTTCAGGAGAGGGAGTGGTTTTTATTTATCCAAGTCACCTCCAAATGTTTTACAAATCAGAAGTAAAATACTAACAGCTCCATCACTAATACCTGCTCTTTTTTCCCCTCATCACCCTTATTTAAACATTCTAAGAAACCATCTGAAAGATGAATACACAAGGCAGATGTTACCAGACATTCTGACTGGTTACTCACATCATACTCTGCAATTCAGGAGTAAAGCTGGTCGATTTTTTCCCACTGCTTGAAGAGACAACCGTTGACATTGGGCTGGCCACAGTGCTGCTCATCTGAGTAAACAAAGAAATAACAGCACTTAATACTTGTATTTCATTTCCAAGAGAGCACATGTAGGTTTCACACTACATATTCAGAAGGGAATAAAAGCTATTTGGGGTAGAATTGCAGGCAAAGGTTCTGCATGCAAAAAGAATCCCATGTGAGACACTGCAGAAAATGTAACAGTTGATATTTACAGTAAGCAAAGTGTTGGAAATGTGCACTATTTCTGAAATACCAATTTAGAGGTATTCACCGGTGGAGAAGCATTAAGATAAAAAACACAGCTATTCTGGAATAGATGGTACTCACAGGCACCAGTATCTTGCTACCTGAACCATCCTCTTATATTCCTGCAGTATCCTCACCATTAGTGAATCACACCCATACCATCCCCACTGAACTAATGGGAGCAAAAGAGATTCTCAGAAAAAGCTAAAACTTAATGAGCACGGACATCACAACCTTCCTTTCTAAAACACCAGCTTTACGTACACACACTACTTAAAACCTTAAAATGGAAATGCATTAAAAAGAGTAAGACTTGAACACCATGATAGTTATAGGACTGAAGGGACTACATTTATTCAAAATAGATTACAGCTTTTCTATATAAATTTCTCATTCAAAAACTCCAAACCAAATGCAGTATAATTTTACTCTTATTCTATGAAGTAATTAGTGCATCTACATTTTCCTCTTTAATAATATGCAAGTCAAACGCCTTTGAACTATTTCATTTCAAAAAATACTTAATTTACTAAAACACTGACTAAGCAAAATTGAATTATGGAAAACTCTATAAATATGTAAAAGGGAGTTTCATTTTTCCCTTAATGTTTTAAAAAAAACTGCACATTGTGTAAGTCTCCTGATAAACAAGCTATATTCCCACTATATTTCTTCCTCTTCTAGCTTTTTGCACACTAGTAACAATTGAGTTGTACTGCTCATTTCTTGTACTATTAGTTGTAGCAGCAGTAATGACAATAAAAGCTATATGTTGATATAGTTTGCTGTGCTGTAAGAGATCCTACCTTTCTCCACTTTAAAGTTCAAAGGTAAGATAGGTTACAGTTCTAAAAAGCAATCCTAAAGTACAGGACCAGATTTATATTAAATGTCATTAAAGGCATTGCAATCAATCCCAAATATTCTGCTTTGGTTGAAGAAAACTTATAATAGTCTAAATACAAGTCATAAGATACCTTCAAAAAGTAAGGTGTGCTTTGAAAGGCTAATGACACAACAGCAGCTGGACAAACGACGAAAAATAAGACGTTCATGCTTTAGATAGAATCATAGAATGGTTTAAGTTGGAAAATACCTTTAAAATCATTGATTCCAACCATTAACCCAGCACTGCCAAGTCCACCAGTAAACCATGTCCCATGTCTTTTAAATCCCTTGAGGGATGGTGACTCAACCACTTCCCTGGGCAGCCTATCCCAATGCCTGACCACCCTTTCCATGAAGAAACATCCTAATGTCCCATCTAAGCCTCCTCTGGCACAACTAAAGGCTGTTTCCTCTTGACTTGTCACTTGTTACACGAGACAAGAGCCTAATCCCCACCTTGCTACACCTTCCTGTCAGGGAGCTGTAGAGAGCAAGAAGGTTCCCCCAAGTCTCCTTTTCTCCAGGCTGAGCCACCCCAACTGCTCCTCATCAGATTTCTGCTCCAGACCCTTCTCCAGCTCTGCTCCCTTTCTCTGGACTCATTTCAGCACCTCAACATCTTTCTTGTATTGAGGGACCCAAAACTGAACCCAAGATTCAAGGTGAGGCCTCAGCAGTGCCCAGCACAGGGGTCAGTCACTGCCCTGCTCCTGCTGCCACACTATTGCTGACACAGGCCAGGTGCCATTGGCCTTCCTGGCCACCTGGGCACATGCTGGCTCATGTTCAGCCACCGCCAACCAGCACCCCTGGGGTGCTTTCCAAACACTCTGCCCCCAGCACTGCATGAGGTTTTTGTGACTTAAATGCAGGACTTGGCCTTGTTGAATCTCACACAACTGGCCTTGGTTGATTGATCCAGCCTGTCCAGATCCCTCTGTACAGCCTCCCTACTCCCACCCAACTTGGTGTCATAAGTTTACTTATTTTTATTAATGCTTTCAAGTAGATTTTCACATACTTCTGTTCATCTTCAAGCAGATTCTAATTTAGGTCTCCATCCTGCAAGCATTTATGCACATGTGTAACTTTAATCACAAGTTTGCTCCCACTAAAGTCTGATTTTAATCACGTGAGTAGTTACACACTAGGCTTCAGTGTTGTCATAATCAGCAATTACCAGAGTCATATAACCTAAACAGTCAAATTAGTGAATTTTAAAAACCAAAAAAATGTTTAAAAACTGAACAGCATACAAAGACTTAAGGGGTTTTAAGTTTAGGGTTTTTTAAAACTAATATAATTTAGTATCATATATATGGCTATTTCCTTTGACGATCCATAACAGACATTTTGCTTTATACATGAGGTTCTTTTCTACTAACTTATGAAGCATTCTCCCAGAATTCCCAAAAACCTTGGGACAATTCCACAGTTGCTTCCTCACAGTGTAAGCTTTGTGATTCATGGAAGTCCTGTTTTGGGGTAAATCCTTTCCTAGGTTCCTCCCTCCAAGTGGACAAGAACAGCTTAATTAAAAAACACTTGTAGGGCTGTAGATGTGTGTAAGTATCAGTAGGCTTGAGAGCTGAAAGCTTATTGGCTATTGCTTCACTAAAAACTTGATCTTCCTATTGCAACCAAATGATTTAACTTTCAAATCAAGCAGGTGTACAGCATTTTCTTGACATAAAAAACCAACAGCTTGTCAGGCTTCATCAGACCCTTTACAATAATTACTTCCACAGCCCACGTTTTGTTTGATGGTTTAGATAATTAACTTCTTTACACATCAAAGTCCCATCCTCCGTATGTTCTATTTCCTTTCTTCCGGACATTAAAAAAAGAAAAAAAAAAATCATTCAAAAGCAGAAGCACTCTCAAATCAATTTTCTTCAATAAGTACAGCTATCATGGAACTGAAAAGCCTACAGTAATCTTCAATGGGTCGATATACTGTATTTGTTTTAACTCCAAACTGAAATGCAGCTGTTTGCCATATTCTACAAAATGAATTCAGATGTTCAGATTAGGTCACAGATTATTTCAGCGTGCTGTATTTTAATCATGAACTCTAGAAAGAAGATAACTTCTGATTAACACTATCTGGACTGGCAATTATGAGTTTGTATCCAAAGAAGTCCAGCTTGTATAAATTCTTTTCCCATAAGTAAAATATTACAATCAAATGTATGGTTAAAAATGCACATTAAAATGTGTATATAATCATTAATATATTTTAAAGCATATTCTGCAATCTCAATGTCTTTTACACTGAAGAGTCACAACAGAAAACAGTACTTGTTCCATATGAATCAGCAGAACAAGAGTTCTCAGTTGAGGGAAACAAATTTTAAGTCACTTTTCATCAGGTTCAGGCCCATCCCTCTCACCACAGTAAGACATCCAGGCAGACTTCCATTTCATAGCCCTCCTTCATGTCCATATCCACCCTGAAATAACCAAGCAGTACTAACTCACACTGACTCTTCTACAATCAATAAGAGATATCTGCATAACCCATCTACTTATTCAAGAGCAAGCTGAGAGATGTATAAAAACTGAAATTCCACTGCTCCTAAAACATGAATTTAATATACAGGCTATACATTTAGCCAATAACAGTAAACCACAAAATCTGCAAGATGACTCATATTATTTGGGACATACATAAAGCAGTCTTAACATACATATATATACAGAGAGAGAGAGAGAGAGAAATAGCATCATAGAACAGTTTAGGTTGGAAGAGAGCTTAAAAATCACTTCATTCCAACCCCCCTGCTATGGACAGGGACACCTTGTTGCTCCAAAGTTGCTCCAAGCCCCACCCAGCCAGGCCTTGCACACTTCCAGGGAGTGTGCAGCCACAGCTTCTCCGGGCAGCCTGTGCCAGTGTCTCACCATCCTCACAGGAAAGAATTTCTTCCCAATATATATAATCCTAGTCTCTAAGTTTAAAGCCATTCCCTCTTATCCCATCATTACACATCCTTGTCCAAAGTCCCTCCCAAGCTCTCTCAGAGCCCTTTTAGGTACTGGCAGGTGCTGTGAGGTCTCCTCAGAGCCTTCTCTTCTCCAGGCTTAACAACATATACTCAGTCAACAAGTCTCTTGAAATATTGCTCAAATACTTTCACCAGCCACCATTGCCGAAATGTCACATGAAGATCCAAGAGAAAAGTGCATCCAAACAATCACTAGAGAACAGTCCTCTAAACACACTGCTTGACAGTGACCTAAACTCACTCAGGAAGAGCAAGAGCAAACATTAATAGTAATACAGCTGTCACTTCACCAAAAAAAAAAACACCTAAGTCTAAACTGGGTCTGCTTAAAACAAAAGTGGATTTGCACAGATAGGCCAAAGGTGCAGAATAATCAAAAAACCCAGCACTGTCCCTGCATAACTTTTTGCACTGAATAACACAGAGCAGAAGTTACCATCACAATGACTTAATTCATAAACATACATCTAATGTAGTTATCGCATCAGTCCTCTTCCCTTGCCTTTCATAAACACATTTTGCATATAAACTGAAACCATGCAAAAATTTACAGACTGACAAATTTTCATTTATATAAACCCAAATAAAACAGGAAGGAAATAAAGGCCAAGATGACTATGAATTAACACAAAATTAAAATTAATGCTTTTGTTTTCACACCCTTTACTTGAGAGTTATTAGATTAACTAGTCTGCTGCCACTGAGTATTTCACTAGATGCATGGCCTCACCAGCTGACAAGAGTGTAAGGTAACAGTCTTCTGGAATTGGAGATGTAACAAATAAATACAGGAAATATAGATTTTTTTTTTTTAGTGCATTTCTTTTAAAAAACAAAAACACAGCCACAAACTCTGCTGAACATGTGCAAGACCAGCTGAGTGT